AAATTTTTATTTCGATGAGTTAAAAACGGAATGGCAAATTTAATATACCTTCCCTACTATGTATGGTGGACGGTATAAAAATCAATATAGTTCAGACTTGATCCGTGTACTGTACGTGTGGAATGTACTGATTCAATGACACTTGTAACTACCTCTGGTGCTTTCCACAGATGTGATGAGAACTGAAATGCACCGTAAAGTACCCACCTTAACTGATTTGTTGCGGAAACCTTCATTTTCAATTTTTTTAATAAACATTTCACGCCTACAGATTCTTTCACTGAAAATATAAACATATAACTGAGGCGCCTTCGCAACTATTAGGTTAAACGTCTTGCCAAGGAATGATTTTTGGTAATAAAAATACACAATCGGGAACATTTTACAAATTTTTCCCAAAGGCTACGTGTTCCACGTGACATAATTACAGAAGGTAGAACAAAGCTACCCCTAAATACAATTTTTTTCTTTTTGTGCCCTTATTCTGTCAAAACATATACACATGGTACAACAAAAAGGTAAGGTGGAGCTAACAGCTGATTACAATTTTTTTCTAAGTGTGTCCGACTTCTGCCAATTTTGTGTATGTATTAATTGTTTTGAAAAATGAAAAAATATTGCGACTCGCGCATCGCGCAACCAGTATAGCCATGAAATTGAAAGATTGAACAGTTAAGATCATATTTTTGAGAGAAAAATCCAGACATTTTATTCATTTTTTGCGATATTTAACTCATTTTAAAAATGAGGGAAAATATGAAAGAAATGAAAACAATAATTTTGAATGAGTCTGACAGGAAGCGGACATAGCCTCAGGGCTGTTCTACTCCTTATGGTACCATGCTTATACACATTTTGTGTGTGTGTATTGTTTTGAAAAAAAAAATACAATAATTTGAAATTCTTTCAAATTCGGTTGCAAAACAATTGCAACTTTTCGACGAAATGGGTAACAAATTGTACCATTTTGTGATAAAACTATAGTGTCCTCCTATTTTAGATTCAATCTTGTGCAATAACTCCTAAATTCCATCCTTATTTCGCGGTTTTTTTTTTCCAATATAAGAATTTTGTAAAAAAAATTAAAAATAAACAAAGCCAACTGTTGCATGATTAAAGGTCTATTTGACACTACAAGACTCCAGCACAAAGTTGCATTTTTTAATTTCTTTGATGTATATATCTTTGAATATCAATTTTCGAATAATTTGTATCACTAAGAACTTTTTGTATCCCTCCTATATATTTCCAAAACAACTCTCTTGTCGACATCATATTAACATTAGCACAAAACTGATGGTACAACATTTTAAACCATAATAGTTTTTTGATCAAAGAAGTACTCTAAATCAAAGTTCTGAGAATCAAAAAATTAAAATGTTCACAATTCTCTTATTCATAATTGACTTCTTCGAATTTGCAAATTGTCTGCTTTGGACTTTCATATTTTATTGCCACGCTGCACGTGCCGAACCTGAGAGAGGTAGCGTTTTGTTATTGATTTGTTTGTGAGTAGATTGCCGTTATGGCAACGAACCCCACAGGCCTGTCTCCACATCCGCTCCGCTTTGCCATTAACTTGAGGGCTTTCCATTAATTTGCAAACTCTTTCGCCGAAGAAAAGCAGGAAAACGCTATACGCAAAAACAAAACAACAAACAAAAACAAAATTACCATAAACTAAGACGTCCTTGAAGCTCCATGGTTTATAACCAACGGGGAAGGTGCACGGAAGACCTTGTTCAAGTTTCTTACACCTTTGCAGTTTTCAACGTCAAGGACACAACAAACAGAAAAGCACAGCAGCAACAACAACACCAAATGGAACAAAAACAAATACGTAACTTGTATATGCATATGTATGTATATGGTTCATACTTTGTATTTTGGGGATAATAGTGTGACCTGATCGTAAATTGTAGGCATATGTGTGAGAGACCAAAAAGTAATTAGATATTGAAAACAATTATAGAGAAGACGACAAAATAATACCAGATTATCCAGTGTAAATATAGGATATACCATTGTACAATTAATACAAGATAGGATAACTTTAAGAAAGTTGGGAGAAAGTAGACCTTCCTTCCCATGGTATAATAAAAAGGTAAGGTAGAGCTAAAAGCTGATTACAATTTGTTTCTGAGTGCGCCCGACTTTTGCCAATTTTGTGTATGTATTTATTGTTTTGAAAAATAACAACAAAATATTTTCAAAATCAATGAGTGGAGGGAACGTAGATTGTCGGGTGCGCTTTGTAGATGTTAACCAGTTTAACCATGGAATTGAAAGATTGGACACTCTGGATCATATTTTTGAAATAAAATCCAGGCACTTTATTCATCATTCGCTTTATTCAAGTCATTTTAAAAATGAGGAAAAATGTGAAATAAATGGAAGAACTTGAATCTATCATAGCCTCAGAGCTGTATGTCTATAGTTTTACCGAATTCGGGCAAAAACAGTGCACAAGTTTCCGTATCCGATGACGAAGAGCATGTGCAAAGATTCTAGGGTGTAAGCTTGAAGAAGCTTGAAGTCATTGCTAGGCATATTTTGTGACTTTTTTATAAAGGGATTACAGATCCGCACTAAGATCCTGCCGTCGTTTTCCAATATAATTTGACATTAATATGCATAGCCATGACTTCAAGCTTTTTATGTACTTACACCTTAAGAAATAAAAACGAAACAAAACTAGTAAAAAAACATCAAATTCGACCGATATTTCGTGCGTAAATGTGACAAGGATTATCGAAATACCAAATATCGGTGGGTACGCTATAGGAATGCGTGGACCTAGATATGCAATGTTCTACCACCGGAGGTTGAACCCATTACAAACTACAAATAAAATTTCTTAGGCAAATCCGTGGGAAAATGTGCTGAATATCGGAAGGTACCGTTATATGGGGGCTATACGAAAACGTGGACATATATATGCAATGTTCCGCCCCTGGAGCTAGAACCCTTAACGAACTACAAATAAACATTTTTGGACAAATCCGTAAGAAATGTGACCAAAACCTTCAAAATACCAAATATCGGGATGTAATGTGGACCTAGATATACAATGTTCTACCACCGGAGGTAGAACCCATTACAAACTACAAATAAAATTTCTTAGGCAAATCCGTGGGAAAATGTGCTGAATATCGGAAGGTACCGTTATATGGGGGCTATACGAAAACGTGGACATATATATGCAATGTTCCGCCACTGGAGCTAGAACCCTTAACGAACTAGAAATAAACATTTTTGGACAAATCCGTAAAAAATGTGACCAAAACCTTCAAAATACCAAATATCGGGATGTAATGTTATATATAAGGACTACACGAAAACGTGGACGGATATATCTCATTTCAATACCAACCATCCCAGATACAAAACAAATTGTTGTCCCAATTTTTTAAGATCTACTTCAAATAATTTGGGCTGCATTGTGATTCCAACACACAGAAGGACATCGTTAAACCGTCTTAGAATTTTATACTGATTGTGAATATATACATATACTTTATGGGGGCTACGAATGTTACAAACAAAGATAATATACCCTCCTTTTCAAGATGGAGGTCTTAAAAACTCCCTCGAAAATATTTGCGGATTTTTCTTAAATAACTTTAAAAAACTTAAACAAGTTAAAAAGCAGTAAGTTTGGCCGGGCCGAACTTTGAATACCATCCACCATTTGAAACGAATTTGGAAATTTTCATAAAATAAAATTCTTAAAAAATTCTGTTAAAATATTCTATATACGACGAGGACCTACATTGGGATTGTTATTCATAAGCCATTACCATATTCAAATTCGAAACTTGAAATAAACGGTGAATAATGTAGCTAAAATCATCAAAATATCGTATATAGGGAGGTACCGTTATACCGGAGCTGTGCGAAGACCTGGACCTGCAGAGACAATTTTCTGTCACAGGCTGTAGCATCCATTACGAACTTCAAATACCACATCTCAAACAATTTCGGTGGGTAGTGCATCTAAAATCGTCAAAATACTGAATATAGGGAGGTACTGATGTATGGAGCCTATACGAAGACCTGAACCTGCATAGACAATTTTCTGTCACAGACTGTAGTTCCCATAACGAAAAATAAATACGTAATTTGAAACCATTCTGTTGAATAATGACGCTAAAATCATCAAAATACCGAATATCGGGAGGTTCCGTTATATAGGGGCTATATGAAAACGTGGACATACATGGCCCATTTACGAACATAACCTGCCTACTGGAAAAAAACATGTGTGCAAAATTTTAGCCATCTATCTCAATTCATTTGAAAGATGCGTGAAGAAGCGTGATTACAACAGACAGACAGACGGACATCGCTAAATCGACTAATCGAGAGATTTCCGCTGATCAAGAATATATATATATATATATATATATATATATATATATATATATATTGTTGGGTCTGACATGAGTATTTCGAGAAGTTACAAACGGAATGACAAAGTAAATATACCCTCCATAGTATGGTGTAAGCATGGTACAATGATATCAAGGTAGGGTTATGATACCATATTTGCTTATGTATGTGTTTTCTTCTCAATAACAAAAAAATTGTTCAGAAAATATTGAAATTCGGGTGTTTTCAAAATGTTTATATCAACGTATGCATCGACAAAATCTAGAGTTTTTGTAGCGAAATAATCCTTTAGAGATATGTAGTACATGATTTTGAAAAGAAGTGTTGACCTTTCATTCAGTTATCGCGGTTTTTCAATTATTTATTCAAAATAAATGCAACAAGTTGTTTGATTTTTTATTGTTTTGATACTAATTCTGACATTACAAGCCAAACAGGTAGACCTCTATACTTGCAATTTTTTCAACGTTGACCTACCTTCTCTTCATTGTACCATGGGTGTAAGATATCTTGCAAAAGAGTGTATGACAGTACCTTATTCTCTCAGAAAGAAGTTTCTGTACAATTAGTGCAGAAAAAGTAAGCAGTCACACCTAATATTTCCAACTTTTGTCAAAGCAGTTGCCACAATTTAAACGGAGGTTTTTATAAACAAATAATACAAATAAATGATATTTCGAAATATTATTTGCTAAAAACTAAACGAAATTTTAGTTTAAGACATCTTTCAAATTTTATTAAAAAGCCCTTTGGACCATTCATTGAAACATGGATAACAAATTAACACAGCTTTCAGTGGCCCTATCAAAGAAAACTGACAACATTCATTTTTTAAAACCCATCTTCAACCAAAGCCATTTTAACGCTTATGGACCTTTGGACTCAAAATATGAAGCTATTGGCGACAGAGTCTTTCAATCGAGCGCCTTGAAGATATTTGCTGCGGTGTTATTGTACATCTGGCGACAGAGAGGAAAGGAATTAAATGAATTGAAGGAATCTGTAATCATCCTCCGAGAAAAGGTAATGAATGAACCAATATAAATGGGAAAAGTATGGACACATAACACAACATTTTTGCAGTTATGCCAAAGTAAATATCAACTCGAATATTGCCACTCTCAATTACGAGCCGAAGAGAACAAAAATCATGAACTCAAATGTCAGCTGAACAACATCCTTAATATGTTGCACGAAACTCAAATGTCCTGCAAAGGATTGTCAGACACGATATTCAGCTTGAAGACTGATAAGAGGCTATTGGAACAGGAGCTTAAAATGAAATACGAGGACTATAACGCCCTGCATACGATATTAATTGATACCAGAAAAGATTTACTTCAGAGCATTCTGGAACAGCACAGCCACCTTTTAGCGATCTCTCAAAAACAGCGATCCTTTGAAATATTGGAAAACCATGCCAACCAACTCCGACAACAAGTAATGCTCGATATATAATCTGTAAATCTGCAAATTCTAGTTTATTTTTTGCAGATGGCCGATTTGTCTCGCAAACATGCTGAAACAAAACTTCAATTAACGGATATGATCCACATGGCGAATACAAGTGGCGCCGAATCTAAACGGTAAATTGCGTTACAAATTAAAAAAATAAGGGATAATGATTGTCGTTATGTGGGTGGTGCGTCTAAATCTACGCTAATATTGAACATTTTTTGGCATTTATAAATATCCTCACTTCTAAATGACATTTTAGATTTAATTAATTGAAAATTATTAAATAAAATAAATAGTTTTTAAAATGTTTACATTTCAGAAAACATCTTGGTAATTCGCAAGTATGTCAAACAACGGATAGCATTTACGATCGCAGAACATTTTGGCAGAAACATATTAACATCGGCAGATCATGGCAGAAACATCTATCAGCACTTTGGACTCAATGGGGGAAATTCCAATATGTTGCCGTTCAATATGCCCACATATTTGCTTTCTATTTACTACCAGCCATTCCCCCTCCACCTGGCAAATGTCTGGGAATATAACATAATTCAAGAAATAACTGCATGCAAATAGTTTAAGAAAATCAGGCCTGTTTACACATCATGATAGAGTTATCTGTAAAATGGGATTTTTTCACATTTATTTTTAGCATTTTTATAGCATGCTTTAAGGTGTATCCCATACTTTTTAAACCAATAACGTTTCGTAATATTATACAATTAATATATTTATAGTAAACACAAAATATTTTAGACCAAAGGAAACGCTTTATAAATTAATATCTTTAAAGTTTAAATATTATGTTTAAAAGTTGATGGAAACGCGTAAAAGTATACTGTAAAGATGCTATATAAAATGTGAAAATGTCACTTTAAGTCTAACTCGAACATAATGTGTAAACTAGCCTGTAACATTACGAAATTATCAGAAAACGGAGAATAAAATAAATTAATCTTTTTACTATTTCATCAATTTTAATATCTAAGATACCCAGTACTCAAGCTGAGCCTATATTAGAGCGCAATTAATAAGACAATTATGGTAATCTATCTATGTATTTAAAAGAGTAGTGAAATAACTGACTGACTGAGAATCAACGCCCAGACGAAATGGCTGAAGCTAGAATATATTGCAATTTTCCACGAGGGTCAGTCTTTTGGTGCGTGATAAGATTGGGTTTATTAAATTTAATACTTTGTATTACACAAATGTGAATGTACAAGAGATTTTAGAAATTCGAACTATAATGTTACTATAAATTCTAAAATGGTACAAAACTTCTAAAATTTGATGTCATGTGAACGGATAGAGCTAAAAACTTGAAACTTAGTATAAGAAACGAGGTGGGAGAGTAAGTTTGATATATGAAGGTGGTTTTGGAATTTTTGCGAACTGTTCTAAATGGTACTAAATTTGAAACAGTTTGGTTGACGTTGAACGGATGAAGCTGAAACTTCTTAGTGTAGCACAAAAAGCGTGATATAAACAGAAAATATTTAAATGTTTTGGAAACTTTCATCTCTGTTATGAACACATGCTAAATTTTGTTTCGATCTGGCAACTCCTTCATATAGAAACAAGTGTTCAAAAAAGACGCATCCGCAACTTTTTTACAATGGAATAATTAGAAATGGGTGCTGTCATTAACTATTTACATAAACAAGTAAAAAAGGTGTAATTTCGAACGGGCCGAACTTTGAATACCCTCCACTATTTGGAACGAATTTGACAATTCTCAAAAACTATAAAATCCATTAAAAATTCTGTTAAAATCTTAAAAATACCGAATATAGCTGTTATATTAGGGTCTATACGACGACATGGACCTGCATAGGTAACTTTTGTCATAAGCCATTACAATATTCAAATGCGAAACTTAAACCAGTAAAGAAAGCCTTAAAATCGGGCGGGGACGACTTTATGACGACACTTTGCTAATTAATAGAGCTCCACATATGGGAGCTATAGCTATATCTGAACCGATTTCGATCAAATTTGGCACACTTATTTTCAGGCCTAATTTGGGTGTATATGCAAAATTCCATACAATTCTGGCCGATATTACATGTTTGGTGCACAATTAAAGGCAAATCGGACGAAGATATATATGGGAGCTATATCAAAATTTTGACCGATTATCTCCAATTTCAAAAGGGTTCGTCCTTGGGCCAAACAAATAATCTGTGCAAAATTTCATCTGGATCGGGCAATAAATGCGACCTGTACTTTGTTTACAAAAATCAGAATGTGATTCTATGCAGATCATCAAAAGGAACTATGGGTCTATCTCGTTTCCTTCTGCCTGTTACAAACAAATGCACAAAGACATAATACCCTGACCACCTTGTGGTGTAGGGTATAAAAAAATCGTTGAATAATGTCGCTAAAATTATCAAAATACCGAATATCGGGAGGTACCGTTATATGTTGGCTACACGAAGACAATTGTCTTCCATAGGCTGTAGTATCCATTACGAACTTCAAATACCAATTTGGAAACAATTCCGGTGGATAATGTCGCTAAAATCATCAAAATATCGCATATCGGGAGGTACCGTTATTTGTGGGCTATACGAAGACGTGGATCTACATGGCCCATTTTTAATACCAAAAGTCCTGCAGACATAATACACATTTAAATTTTTATCAACTTACTTCATTTCGTTCGGAAGCTAGAGTGATTTCCACAGACGGATAGACGGTCGGACAGTGCTAAATCGACATAGAATTTTATGCTGATCAAGAATATATACTTTGTGGGGTCTAAAATGTATATTTCGAGGTGTTACAAACGGAATGTCTATCTGGCTTTCCTTTTCACTGCAAATTTCAGATCATTAAGCTCGTCTCGAAAGAGAAACAAACACATAAATCATAAACATATGATCTACGCCTAAACAAGGCAAAACTCAAAAAAAGCTTGTTTGGATCGTTTTAACAGAAATAAAATGGATTTTGAGCGTCGTTTCATAACTATTGATGAGATATGGATACACCAGTATACTCCAGAGACAAAAGAACAATCCAAACAATGGACTGAAGCTGGAGGAAGTGTAGCAAAGATGGCAAAACAATTCAATCGGCTGGTAAGGTTATGGCAACGCGTTTTTGGGACTTCAAAGGTATTTTATTGATTGACAATCTGCAAAAGGGTAAAACAATAAACGCACCAGCGCATAAGAGTGTTTCAACAATGGCTAAAATCAACGAACCAAAGTAAGAGTTGCTTGACCAGCCACCTTATTCTCCTCGATTTAGCCCCAGTGACTTTTACTTATTTCCAAATCTAAAAAATTCCTTGCTGGTGAGTGTTTTACCTCAAATGTAGATGCAATTACAATTGTAAACCACTATTTTGAAGACCTTGGTGAAAACTTTTTTAATCAGGAGATTATATTGAAAAATAAAAATATTTTTGAAACACTAATTATTCTCTTTCATTGATAGGCTAAGAAGTTTCCGAACCCCAATATTTGATTCAATTTGGTATTGGGTGACCAGATAGTGCTTCAAATCTGAAGTTTGGAATTGGTTATGTGTAGCTTTCGTTCATGCGTACTATAATTGTTCGAAAAGATTTAGATAACTATTGGTATCTAGAAAAGATCTGGAGTGTTTTGGATATGCGTATTTTTTGTGATTAAATTTGGTATTTGGTGAAGGGATTGAGCTGAAATTCTGGAGTTTGTTATTAAGGTCACTGTTGGTTTCTATGGTTTATAAATAAAACTATATTACAGCTTGAGAACAATATTATTATTAATAGTTGGCCATAAACATTTTTTAACAATGCTTGAGAAACACTTAACATTTGTTTTGCATTTTTATGAAAAATTTTCGTTTTCCATAAATGGCAATGTGAGGCAAAGAAGAAAATGGTAAGAATAAGTGATTTAGGAGTCTGTGATTTATATAACTTCAATTTACTAATAGACAGAACGCTTCAACAAAATGCAGAAATTGAATTGGTATTTTTCAAGCATACGAATGAAGTGAAATATTTGACAAGGAGAGGCAGAAGTTCAAAAACAAACGGTAACAAAGGGAATTGCAACAGGGAAGACCATGAAATAATCAAATATAATTTATAAGAATTACAAAAATGGTCTTGTTGAATTATTATAAGAATAAGCTTAAAATAATATTGTTTTCTTAAGCTTATTTTACGATTACAATAATAAGCTTATAAATAAGGGTTCAGTTTTGGTTATTCTCTATTTGTCAAACAAGCATTTCTCAATATTTTCTCAAGCTTAAGGCTTAAACTTATAACAATACCCAACATACAAAATTGACTTGAGAATAATACTTTAATAAGCTTACAAACATAAGCCTTAAGCTTGAGAAAATCTTGAGAATGTATTGAGAAATGCTTGTTTAACAATTATAGAATAATCGAAAGGGAACCCTTATTTATAAGCTTATTCTTGTAATTGTAGAATAAGCTTACGAAAGTAATATTATATTAAGCTTGCTAGTGCAATTTTAGAATAAGCTTACAAAACTAATATTTTCGTAAGCTTATGTATTTATAAAAAAGTGTACATATTTTTCAAAACTATTTACTCCATTTTTATTAATTCAGTTGTGTTTTACATTAAGATAATTAGTTCAACTAATATTAGTGAAAGTTATAATATTATTATGTTTTTTTAATTTACATTTTATTTTTTTTGTTTTTGTAATCGTTTCGCAGCTTTATGCGATTTTTAGCGAATTGAAAGAAAGTGCGCGTGTCCTTAATGAATGTGTCCTCCGTGTAGCCCAATGATAAAGTTGCATCTATGAAATATAGAAATTAAGCGTTTATATATGGGAGCTATATCCAAATCTGAACCGATCTCGATAAAATTTGGCAAAGATATTTCTGAGCTGTATTTGATATATTTTCCCAAATATTGTTGTTACAGAATGCATATTACGGCTGCGAATGACAAAAATAACAAATCGGATGAACAATATATATGGGAGCTATAGCTATATCTGAACCGATTTCGATCAAATTTGGCATACTTATTTTTAGGCCTAATTTGGATCTATATGCAAAAATCCATAATATTCGGGCTGATATTACAAGTTTGGTACACAATAAAAAGCAAATCGGACGAAGATATATATGGGAGCTATATCTAAGTTTTGGCCGATTATCTCCAATTTCAATAGGGTTCGTCCTTGGGCCAAGCAAATGATCTGTGCAAATTTTCATCTGGATCGGGCAATAAATGCGACCTGTACAAAAATGCATGGACAGACGGACAGACGGACGGACGGGCGGACATGCATAAATCGACTTAGAATGTGATTCTATGCAGATCATCAAAAGGAACTATGGGTCTATCTCGTTTCCTTTTGTCTGTTACAAACAAATGCACAAAGACATAATACCCTTACCACCTTGTGGTGTAGGGTATAAAAATCGCTTAAAAATGTGAAATTTGAAAATTTTTATTTTGACTTTTGAAGTGTACAATAGTAACGTTTTATTTTGCATGATTTTTTTCCATTTTGACTTACTATTTTGAATGTACATTTGTAGTGTTTTTTTTTTTAATTCTAATATGATGTGTAGTCTTTTTGGGTAGTATAAAGCGACGACAATTATGGAGTGGCGGACCTGAATATATGATGTCAAAATAATTTAACGTGGTCAAACCAATGTTAAAAGATAATTACTTTTTCAAAATTGCTAAAAAATCAAAAAAAGAGCCCATTGCATTGCAAAAACTCTAAAATCGGGGAAAAAAATAGAGAACATTTAGCAATGGAATCAAATTTCAAAATAATAGTAAGGACCAAACTTCGAAAGGACCTTTAAACATTCACTGTAAAAAAACAGCGAACAAGTTTAAGGTTTTTTTTTCAATTTGTTTATTAGTTACTATGCTTAGAACTCAAGAACGTTTTGACGGATTTTCAGAATTCATACAACTTTGGAATGGAATCTTGGCAAAAAATATGCGTAA